TTTAACATTTTTTGTTACCAACTTGAGTTACATATTTTCGAATTAGGGTCAAAATATAGCATAATTACTCCCAAATGGGCAATAAATTAACCAAGTCGGGTTGATACATAATTACCCTCAAGACACATCCATACCTGGTCGTACTTGATAATTACATGTATGTATTCGTTTCGTATTATTTCAAAGTTGATCTTATTCCTGATATTGCTTTAGTGCATAATATGAGAATTACAACCTAAACACATGGACGACAACATGCATTGTAGCATTGTAAACTCGCTACAGACAGTATAACCTGTTGGAATGAAATTGGAGGTAAAAATAAAACTATTTTAGAAAATCCATAACTGGAAAATTCCAGTTACACTGAGATAAATCTATTCATAGAAATCTTAGAAATTAATGAAGCTTTTACGTAGGTGAGGGTCGGGTAGTAGCCATTTTTACACATTGTTAGCGTTCGGATAAACTGTTTGTTAACTCTTTAAGCTGAAAAATACATCAGTGATATGTATTCAGGTGATAGAGAGAATATGAAATGCCCTAGAAATAACTGAAGTTCAGATACAAAAATAGCAGGAAGGCTGTCATTTTTCAAATTTCCCTGAGGTCATGGCTCCCTTCTGATCGGAAATAGCAAAATAGCAGCAAGAACAAAAAGCAAAATAGCAAAAGCCGTGGCAAAACAATTTTACTTCCGTGTGTTGTAAAAATGGGGATTTACCCTCTCTCAATTTCTTTGAAATATCAATCGCTCAACGATTCTCAACGGTTTCATATTATTTAATCTTTTGGGAGGACTTTTCACACTTTGGTGTCTTGAATGGCAATATATTGTTTCCCCTAATATATCATTTGATACTCCAACTATATAATAAGAGAGAAAGAGAGGGAGAGAAAGAGAGAGAGAGGGGGAGATATATATATATATATATATATATATATAGAGAGAGAGAGAGAGAGAGAGAGAGAGAGAGAGAGAGAGAGAGAGGGAGAGAGAGAGAATAATATGGAGAATAAGAGGAAAGAGCGGCAGATATTGACATGATCGGAGAAACACGAAATATTAGAAAGGAGAACAAAATGTAGCTGGTGGTGAATTCGGATTCGAGTAAAGGCGAATCGGTGAGTTCTTTTTAAATAAGAGGGGAAAACAGGTTCTAATTCATTTTCACTGAGAATACGACGATACACTGCCATTATCGGAAAGGAATTCTGCCGGCGAGGTAGAAACATGTTGCATCAGTCTTAATTATACGAATTTTTTTTTAGTTTTTATAGGTTCTTAAATTTTGGTGATCTTTTGAAGGAATGGAAATGGGTCACACTAAGCATTGCTAATTACTGCCGCCTATCTCGCCAATATACGCAGCAATTGTGATTTTATTATCAACGCTACAAACCTGCCTTCAGTGATGCAATATGAAGGAAGTGGGTAGAAGAGCGCTAACGTAAGTAAACCAGGTTCCCGGCCATCCAAGATCTATTTCTTGAGGTGAGCCAAATCGCGGCGCCGAGAGGAGCGGCGTCATTGCTGCTCCCCTTCGAAACAACCGCTTGTGTGAACCCATGCTCATCCATCAAACTGTTGCTGCGGTAATGAGGCAGGCATCAGATGGGGGTGCGGGATGCATTCCTGACATTTGCCCAAACAGATGAATATCTCAAAATATTGCCAAGATACCGATTCATTCGCATTTCAAAACACATCCGGATTGTAGAACCACTCCCCGAAGATTTCTTCTTGACGAGTGGGGTGAAGGGGGGTTAATGAAACCCACCCGTACCCCCTTGAATCCTATTATTGGAGTCACTTGTTAACCTTAACGTCGATTCAGTACACGTATGCATGCTAAATAGCGACAATGGTGCTACCCCAGGGAAGTGTTTATTTGTGCTGAGGGTCTGCGAAAGCAAGCTGGTGCTCTCCAAAAACGGTGTCACGAAGAAAGACGTCAATCCCTAGTCGCAAAGTAGAACGAGCTTTGATCCAATAACTTGTGGAGTCTCTTCGCCAGAATCGACTTGCCCTCCAGTAGGAGAAGAAGGTGATAAGGGGAAACGAAGACGAAGAAGAAGACGACGAAGGAGAGGAAGAATACAAAGAAGGAGAAGGAGGAGAGGATGCTGATGATGAAGAAGAAAAATTGCAAGAGGAGGAGGAGGAAGAAAAGGGGGAAGAAGAAGAAGACAAATAAATAAATAGTAGAAAAAGAATAGGGAGGAGGAAGAAATGGAAGAAGGAGGAGAAGGATGAAGAGGAAGAAGGATGATAAAGAAGAAAATGGTAAGAAAAGCTCTCCGTCTAAACTTCTAGTCCTCGCATTTATCTCAACGCATTCTACACCATTCAAAACGTAGATTGGGGATGAAAAAAAGTCGGTACACGAATTGGCGACGGCAGTTATAAATTATCTAGCGCCCCTGATCGGGAAAAAACTTTATCACGAATTTGTGAGAAACTTATTTACACGTTGGCAAACATTGTAGATCACACATGTTAAGCAATCATGATAGCCCTTATAAACAACATGAAAGTTATATACACCTTTTCATAATCTAAACTTAGAGATGTTAGACTTTACTTACAGAAGTTTGGTTAATTTGTGTTTGCATCTTCTGTATAGGTGACACGGTTATCAAGATTAGGTTTGTATTAGTCTAACGTATCAATAACTTTACTTTTCATAATCATAAAATTTTATACGTCCACTTATAACAATCACGAAACTGAAAATCTACTAAAGCAGCTCTTAAGCAGTGCTAAATGTAGTAGTTTGGCTCGGGATTACGTGCAAAAGCTTCCATTCTGGTTTACCATGCTTTTGCTCTTTCATTCATTAAATTGCTCTCCTAACTCAAAATCATCCACTATGATTTATAAAGTTCATTCATCACGCCAGCTCTTGTTTCTCTTTCAATCGTAATATTCTTACTAGCCCGTAAATTCTGGTTGACGACGACAGTTTGTAGAGCGCGATAAAAATGTTGAGATTTAGGGTTCGTTACCACTGCGATGCCATGAAGATGACGAATATAGTTTCACGCTTCGAGAGTGACTATAAATCATGTGGATTCTTTTTCTTCTCTCTCATAATGTGAACAAAATGGCGTCCTAAAGCAATTGCTGTTAAGTTTTTCTTTCTGGTGCCTCTGCACCCTCGCTCAATCCTCAGCTCTCCTCACTTTATTCGACTTGCATGATTAACCCAATAATTCTGAAGAGGATTTTCGGCAAACTACGTCACGACTCGATGTGGGTCTTGGACTAATCCAACGCAGAATCCCAAATATAAAGGCATTTCATGAATGTACAATGATTTGGACTCTTCATCAGTCCGACAAGGAACATATTATTCCTTTTATGAGCAAAATCAACATGTTTGGCAATGATTTGTGGGTTGTGAAAATATATTAAGCATAAGCTTGCTTGGATATCGATGCATGCTTCAAGTCATGTCAGTTCGAATTAGGCTCCCTGATGGATCGATGCGGTGGAAAGATGGATGACGAAGGAGGGAGGGAGGGAGGTAGAGAGAGAAAGAAAGAGAGAGAGAGGAGAGAGAGAGAGAGAGAAAGAGAAAGAGAGAGGAAGAGAGAGAGAGAGGAAGAGAGAAAGAGATAGAGAGAGGGAGGGAGAGAGAGAGAGAGAAAGAGATAGAGAGAGGAGGAGAGAGAGGGCTGACAGAAGAGGGAGTTAGAGCAAGAGAAAAAAAGATGGAGAGAGATAGAGTGAATGAGAGGGGAGATCGAGAGAGCAAGGGAAAGAGACAGAGGAGGTTACTGGAAAGACAGAGATTGAGGGAAAGACGGAGATGGAGAGAGACAAAAAGAGACAGAGATGTAGAGAGAAAGACACACACACACATCATGATGAATGTGGGATGAGGAGGTAGACGAGACCGAAGAAGAAGCGACCATTTGACAGAGGTATTCCCATTTCTGGCTTTCTTGTTTCATTGTTTACGCCAAAAGCTTTTAATATTACACCGCTGTGGAGGTAGTGGCTTGGGCAGCGGCTCTAATTATTGCCTCGTAAATACAGCCCCTCGATAGCTAGGGTTTGTTTCGAGAGTTTTGCACTTGACTGCCGATATCTAGACGGCATGCATTCGGAGACATCGCGCAAGTGCCTGTGGTATTTACTTTTTGAAGTCTCTATTAACTCTGCCATTCTTCCTTGTTGCCAGTGTCAAGGCAGATACAGACACGGTCCACTCGCCAATTTTGGCACCATCTTCAAAAATCCGTCCTCCTTTTGTCGCGACGCGTCACAAATCGCTAAGAACGCGGCCAGACTCGTAACACAGGTCACTATGTGCAAATGAGAGCTGCGATTTGTATTGAAGATGATTTTCAGCAATTTATGGTGAGGCTGATTTTATTTTACTGGTTCAAACAATCAATCTACTGCAGGATAACCAACCCTTCAAGAATTATAGCCATGTTCTCTCGACAAACGATTCCCATACCAGAGATCCAGATTAGCTTAAAGGTATGGACCAGTTTTTGAAACGCCCCCTTCTCAAAAAATGAAATGAAAGCTCTTATTACCAATTATGTGAAAGAATGTATTTTGACTAATACGTGATGATACAAATTTTGGCGGGAAAAACCTATATATATATATATGGTATATGATATATTTGGTAAATTATCATATCGATCCGGCCTGGATAGATATCGCGAATGCACTTCAGCATGCATTGAACATTTGGGCATATATTTCTGCTTTTTTGCGAATTTAGGTTGAAGTATTGCCATCTAAACCTCTGAAGGCAATATTTAAACAATATTGAATAGATATTTTGCACTCAAAACCCTTGAACCCTAATTTTACCACTACTGGTCTTTAAGTATTGATCACTTTTTATTGCTTATTTATAGTACTATAGGAATATTTCGATGGGTATTTTTCTGCATTGATGTACGCCTTTTAATCGACTGTTTTTATAAGCTTTGTGGACAATGATGAATTGAATTTTAATTTCTTGACTTACCATTTTTGAGATGGTTTCGTTGTTACTGTCCCCTAGAACATCAAATGTGACTGCAATGTAGCCTTCCACTGCCGCCGAAATCTCCTCTGGAGCACAGTCGGTCGTTTCATCATCCATTTTCTTCCAAAAGAAAACAGATTACATATACTAATATCAGTTATTAGCAAAATATTGTACCGGCTATTTTTACTATATACAGACTGCCGTGTTTCGGATGCTATTTCAACTTTCAACTATTTTTTTATTCATGACTATACAACTGCAAGATTTGTTCGTGGTGTACTAAATACATGAAAATTGTTTCGACTTTACATATGATTTATATAAAAGTAAACGTACATTTGTCCGTGTTGTTTCTAGCACACTATAGTGTCATGTTGATGCCATGTTTAAAGCACATCTTCTGCCTTTTAAAAAATATAATTTTCATATTTTAAAGATAATAAGTATTTCTGTAAAATCACACAAAGTAAGTGTGTCATTGTGGTACCGAAGAGGAACGCTTTAATAGCCATGTAAATCACATTATTCTTCTTTTGTGTTTCCAAAAATTTCCATCACGCATTTTGAGCCAATTCGATCAATATGAAAAGATATTTCTTTTAAAACAAAATAAAGAGATGATTTATTTTCTTCTGTTTATGTGTTTGCCAATTTTAATAACTTGATGTAACGATAAAGATTGGTCTTAAAGTTACGACGTAATACTTACCCACCACTCATTTTCGTAGTGCCCCCATATCAACCAGACGTAGTTCAAACCATACAACTTGGCCTTGTAGGCCTAGAAAACAAACACACAAATAAATAAAGTTTGTTATTAAACAACATTCATTGGTCCAAAGCCAATCAGTGATTGACATCACAACTCTACCACGTCTACGTCATAATGGAATGAGGGAGGATAGAGCAGTGATTGGGTAGAATTTTATACATTTATAAAAGTGATAACGAACCAATAAAAGTGTTCAAACCATGATCAGAACAATAATTTGTTTTAATTAATCAAAATGTATGAAGCGACCTTTGAAAAAACCTCTGATAAGTTTATTTGTCTTCGTTCGCATTGTTTCAGTTAAGTATTGGTGGCTTTTGTGAGAGTAAACGATCAAATAAGAGGAAAGTTATTAAATGCTGAGATCATATGATAATAGTAGTATCACGTATATACCCTTATCTGGTATTCAGTAATTCATAGAGTTAAATAGATTCATGTAGATATTATTTATAGAAAACGATGCAGTTATATGAATTAACAGGAAATAAACCAAAAGTAATATCAAATGACGTTTCTGACTATTATAAGTTTTACGAGTTTTTGTCCTTGTATTTCGATCGCACATCTCAGTCTACATTTATCAAGTCTATACAAGGAATTTGTTATTATATTTTGGTTATGCAGAGTATAATCCGTTTAAATCATTACATATCAATACAGACTGAGTGGAATCGTGTTCGATGTCAATATTCTCACCTCACAGAATACTTGGATGGCCTCTTTCTGGTAGAAATTACCGATGATGACTCGCACATCTTTCTCCTGAATGAGGGATACACACAGAAATATTATTGTTATGATTGTTAAAACAACCTCATGTTTAAAGTGGTTTAATAATGTGTAGAGTATGAGAACAACCATTAGGATCAATGTCTCGCATGTGATCCAAGTTACAACAATTATATTTGTTTCTGAATTACAGTGACACAAAAGAGAATGATTGTTTAAATGATATGTTCTTAGTGAATATTTAAGGTTTATATGAAATGTGAAATGTATCATTTTTGCCGGGTAGGAGAAATATATAAGTTTGAACTCCTTGAAGTATGGTGGTAGGCAGAAGAAACCACTTCTCGTATCATTTTGCTGAGCAAGATACAGTCAAGAGTAGAAAGACACTGATCTTCTACAAGTGGCATAGATGTGCGCGCACCTGGGAAGAGGGCATTTCATATTCCATCTACCCCCCCCCCCCTCCATTTCGCTGGCTCTCTCTCTCTCTCTCTCTCTCTCTCTCTCTCTCTCTCTCTCTCTCTGTTATATCATTGTGGAAGGACTCCCCCTCCCCGTATACTTTACTTTATTAAAGAGATACGCAAAATCATTAGTGGAATGACAATCGCTTTAACATCAAACGATTATTATGAGCCATCATCAGGAAAACAGTCCAAATAATTCGCCATTACCATGATTTCAGTCCAATAATCACAAAGGAAATCGATTTCTAAGAAACTAAAATTCCTCTGGGGTGTGTTAATTCTCTATTCTTACTTTCCAGAAGTCAAACGCAATTTGTATTTCTTAATTTGGGAATATAACTCTGATAGCCTCAGGATGATCAACTTAAGATCTTTTATTCTACTTCGCTCAACCTTGAACTACTACCCACACAATGACAATTACACCAATTTCACCAACTACCTCTGAACATTGGTTAGAAAAGTAAGAACACTTTCATCCGAGGCATTCATCAATATTCCCTCTGCATGGGAGACGGTTCTTTTCTATCAAGACCAGAAAAACCTCTAGGAAGACAAATCTTGCTCCTGAATTACCAATTCACCGTTTGCGAATTGGCCATTCTTATGATAAAGAGACTTTTCTCCTATGCAGGTACATTTTTTCAGTGATTGATTTGCGTTATGACAAATAAAACATAGACGTATATAGCATCACATCTTCGATGTAGTATAAATGGAAAAACCCTTGTACTTAGACATAATTAACTTGAATGATATTAAACACAAAAAATGCATGGCAAAAGTCACCATGTTCAAATTGGAATATGTAGAATATACAACTCTATTTGAATTAAAAAGAACTAAAAGAAGCAAATATGCATAACTATGCAGAAGAAAGTAATTTCATCTGATGTCTCCGACAATGGTTTTCCAGAAGCTACTAGAGTTAATATTATTTTTCTTATACAAGGCCTGTTCTATGAGACTCTTTAGTGTGTATTCACATGAAATGAATGGAAAAACCCTATGGGCCTTTTGCTGGATGAAAAGAATTGCGCGAGGAAACGAATGTGACACGTTTTGATTGAAAGTGTTTAGATAATGATAACTACTTCTTCTCTCCCTTCGTTCATATTTGCCTTCTTCTTCTTCTTCTCCTTCTTCTTCTTCTCCTTTTCTTTATTTCTTTTATATTATTGTTATGATTGTTATAACGACCTAGCCACCTAGGCAGAGTTTCATAGTGTTGAGGAATGTAGGTATTGGGGAAAATCGATTAAATTTAAGAAACTTTTTAAAGTGTGAGAAATTGCTACTGAAATGATCCCCAGATGGGCTAGTTTTCTTGGTGTTATTATGCCAAGAACGCTGTTGGGTTTTTGCAGCTTCAAATCAACTTGATTACATTTTGCAATTATCTAATAGAGCCTCTTTTTTGTCTCAGTAGAAGGCCAACCGCAGACACTCGTATTTCTATATCCCTCTGTCTGTCGTATTTCTATACCCCTCTCTCTCTCTCTCTCTCTCTCTCTCTCTCTCTCTCTCTCTTACTGTTACTCTCATCCATTATCTCTCTCTCGATATTTCTCTACTTTCATGTTTCTCTTTCACTTTCTCCCCCGCCCCCCCCCCCTTTCTCTCTCTCTCTCTCTCTCTCACTTGCGTTTTTAAATAAAACAATAGCGAAAGAACATCTTCCTGACTGTGAGATTGAAACATCTGATCGAGGTTAGTTATGGCCACTTTAGGGAATTCTAGGGAGTGAAAAATAAAATCGTTAAAAATGTATAAGAAGACAGAAATGGAATATTGTGTGGCTCGTCTCATATTTGATTATAGGTCAAGGACTATGCGGCTTGTGCGAGGTGTAGACGACGTGGTTATCGCGTTTCATTTTGATAAAAATTAATTTGATGAAATAATGGATGCCTTTTTACTTTTTGTTACGATTTTTCTGAAAGCAACCACACGCTTCCAAGGACAAATGAAGGATTGAAGCTGCTTCCGTTCCTCAAAATATTAAAGAACCAAACTGCATTGGACAAGCATTAAATAGAAGGTTGAGATCTGGGAAGAGGCGAAATTTGTGGGCGTTATCATTGTAGTATGCAAGTGTGGAAGAACATCAGATAAAAATGTTCCCTGAACAGCATGGCTCTCCAAATGCCTTGATATTCTAAATAGGGCATGTAATATCCTAAAAATTGGGACGGATTTTATGCCACATGTTCGTGTAGTCCCATATACATCTTTCTTTGTACAGTGCTTGTTACTTTACCAAGACTGGGCCAAATTCCTTATTACATGTATGTTGATGGCTCCAGAACCTTTCAGTACACACCAATACTTATATGCCACATAATCAGCTTTTTTTGATCGATTCCACACCGTTTCTTTTACAATCCAATCGCATGGCCAAAGCTCAACCTTACGGCTTGTTCATATATATATATATATATATATATATATATATTATTTTTTTTATTTTTTTTATTTATTATTATTTTTTTTTTTTTTTTTTTTTTTTTGGGGGGGTCTTTATCTAATATCTGTTATAAGGTAAATGAACTGGAACTGCGCACAACAATGGTCCTACTCGTTTCCACTTAGGCTTAGGCTATGTTATAACACAGAGTTAAGAAGTGTATTACTCCTATATATAATGAAAAAGAATATTAAAAATCGCTGCTGTTTATCGCTTCATACCTCAACGCGGCTTTAGGGTGCATTATTCATCAAATCATTTTCATGGCAGGGTAAAGAATAAAAACGCCCAGTTATAAGCTGCTGACGATGATCACTATCACACAGCGCATGTCTTGTGGGAGACTGTTGTCTTCTTTACCGCAAGGAGAAAAAAGAAGTGAAGGCTTGTTACACCAACAAAAAAAGTTTTAACAAGCCTTTGGATTTGGGACTTTCGCGCTTAGAATAAATGAATACAAGTTTCCCCGGTTATGGCTTCCTACGCACCATTTTTATTCATTTTCTTGAAATGTATTTCCAATGTAAATTCTCCGTCGATTCTTTTCCTATTACACGCGATTTATCCAAATTTATCCAAGTTTATCCCCTTCTCCTGCTTTGCATTTCTCCAAACTTGTTGACAAATCCTGATATTACTCCCACGCTTTTCGAGGGTAGCTTATTGCATCTTTATTTTTCTCTGCTGAGTGGGAATTACTTTTACTTTAAATGCATAAAATGATAGGGCGGGTACGATTTTGCCAGAACGATTGTGATTTGTTGATGATGGTGTTGTTGTTGTCGTTGTTGTGGTTGTTTTTGTCGTTGTTCTTTTTATCTCTTTGCGCATGTTTTTGCTAATTAGATTGCCCCTTTTCTTTTGTCGATGGTGAAAATACGTCCAGAAATAAAGGTTATCAAGTGAGCTCATAATAAGAAAAATCGCCTACATGATTTTAGACGTGATGACTTTACTATAAAATAAAAAAATAGGGAATTAAACATTCAAGAGGTCTAATGGATGATGTTTTTGTAATGATGTATGCATACATATTTTGAACTTTAATTGTGTTATTCTGGTTGCACTTCAGGTATCATTTGAATTTTAAGATCTCAAGAAGTTATGAATCAGAAATTGTATTCTTGTTCTGAGTATTTGAAGGGTCTGATGTGATCACGACTGAATTCGAGAAGGAGTCAAGGAAGATTAAAGTGACTCAGTATACATTGTTGAAGGTTGATGAAAAAATTGCTTAATTTTTGTATAAAATGTTACTTACTTTATTTTTTCTAATGTACACTGTTGGTCATAATGGTGGAATAATGATTTTTACCCCAATGATTTTGACAATGATTTATTCCTAATAGATCTAAATAATAGATTCTCAGATTTTATTGAATGACAATTGAGGAGTGTTTGTTTGCGTGACTGCTAAAGCATGTGTGTGCTACTATGCTAATCAACTAGGGGACCTACGTCCTTAAGTCATAACTGACAGTATTAGGGATGCCTTAGAAAGGGGCACTAATATAGCACATCGACACGGTTTTGATCCTGGGGGCTCACAGTAACGAGGCCATTGCTTAGCCAATGAATCATGACTGTACGCAGCGGGCGCTAGAGTACGTCGACGCCCTCACAAAACAAATAAACAAAGAAAATGCCATAAATTATCAATAATTCATTGCATTTTCCCCCAGTCCCCAAAAGGAAAAATTCCTGTGTAGGGCCATGCATTATGGTTCAAGGCATGCCCACATAGAGATTTTGTTTATGTTGGGGTTCGGGGCAAAATGCAATGAATTATTGAAAATGTATTCTGAATTCTGCCTCCCAATCCATGTCATTTCGTGCGCAAAGAATGATCAATTAAACAAAAAAGAAAATCTTATTCAAGGAGTGTTTCAGGCTAGAAAATGAAGGTTTACGTGCATTCATCCGCATCCCCTGTTGTGATGATGTTTTTGTTTGTCATATTTCAGACGGTACACCTCCCTTATACATCTACACATCTCCACAATTTGGAGGGGGAATTTGTCGACCGTGGGAAATATGAAATCCCCCATAAATCCCCCCCCCCCCCTCCCGCTTCCTCCTGGAGCCACAACTAAGTACGTTCTGGCAGAGACCAGGGGGTGTTTCACAAAGATCCTAAGTTGAACTTTAAACTCTAAGTTGAACTTAACGCTAAGTTGGACTTAAAAACTATGGAGAGCCATTTGTAGCCTTAAAATTAAATATATTCAAAAGCGAATATTCAAGTATTTTAGACTTTAAATAAATTCCACATCAAGAACATGAAATCTCCTTGATAATAGAAAATAACTTTCACAAATATTTCATAGATGCTTATGGCTTTCCATAATTGTTAAGTCCAACTTAGAGATAAGTTTAACTTAGGATCTTTTTTGAAACACCCCCAGGGTATTATATAACCTCAAGCTAAATTTAGCCATCTCCAAGCAGCGCGTGCCTGTCCTTCCAAATCTATAATAAATGGGAACTATGCTCGCATTATCGGGTAAAATTGTGAAACAGTAGACGGGCATAGGGAGATAGATTGCGGTCAAATTTGTGAATGAGTACAAAGAAAGCCGATGAATGCATTGAAAGCTGGACTAAACAAAAAAAAGTGTTTAATATTTCCTCCTTTGTACGATACCTACATCGGGAAACATTGCTGTAAACATCCCTTGTGTGATATTACCTTTTCATTGCTTCACCAAATTTCTATTTTTACTCTGTTCTACTTTTTTTTTTTTAATTTAATATAGTTAGCAAAGGCAGTTTATATTTGAAGCACATGAGTAGTTTTGGTAAGGCCCAAAATAAGTTCGCAGATTAAATTTTATTTCAGATGTTGGATATCAAACGAATAACAATCCAAAGTTCTGACACTTCTGCAACTTATAAAATGTCAATAGTTGATTTCTTCTTTTCATTATTTTGTGTCGGTGTGTGCGTGTGGGGAGGGGGTGATATCCAACAGGGAGGAGGGGTGATTATTCCCCCCCCCCTCCCCCTTTCCCCGCCCTCCTCTAACATTCTGGCACTAAATTCAATTCCAAGGGTAGATCCGGAATTTTGATAGCCAAAAGCGGCACGATTCCAGAAAAAATACAAATTAAGTGGGCATTTTGTCGGTGTTTCAGTACTTTGGGCATCACTATGCAAACGGATAATCAAAATGAGGCACAGGCTGTTTGTGCCCACCTCCACCCCCTGTCATCTACCACTGCTTAATCCTACGATGAGAAATCGGCATTCTCTTGAGATGGGAAGATTAGGTCATGTAAAACCCATCAACTTCAACTCTAAGCCCCCTGTCTCTTTGTCAAACGAGATTAAAGACTCGAGCCCACCCAACAACTCGTCTTGATCATCTCTAAACCCCTGTCATACACCATAGCAGCTAGGCATCTCTCTCCCCCCCCCCCCCCCCCTCTCTCTCTCTCTCTCTCTCTCTCTCTCTCTTCTTCTTCTTCTTCTTCTTCTTCTTCTTCTTTCTCTTTCTCTCTCTCTTATTTCTCCTCTTCTTCTCTCTCTTTTCTTACTCTCTCTCTCTCTCCCTCTCTCTCTTCTTATTCCTCCTCTTACTATATATATATATATATATATATCTCTTTCTCTCTCTCTCTCTCTCTCTATTTCTCTTTTTTCTCTTCTTTTCTCTCTTTTCTTTCTATCTCACTCTTTCTCTCTCACTCTCTTCTTCTTCCTCCTCCTCTCTCTCTCTCTCTTTCTCTTTCTATCTCTTTATAATTTCTCTCTATTTCTTCCCCTCTCTCTCTCTCTTTCCCCCCCCCCCCCCCTCTCTCTCTCTCTCTCTCTTTCTCTCTCTTTCTCACACAAACTATCCACCACAATGCCTTTCAAGGCTACCTTACCTTGAGGTACTTGAGTGATTGTGCGATATTTTGCGACATCGTTTCCATGTTCTTATCGACGTTGAAAGCCTCTTTGACCATGACATGAATGTTGCTTGCGTCAAGTTTGGTTATCAAATCGTTCACCACCTGTTTGAAATGTCAAAGAAAAGATCAATCTCAATTAAAAATTGATATCTTTACTATTGAAGTTGAAGAAAATGAGAGGATAATACGTTCATGAATAACATCTGCTGTAAATGGAGACGTACAAAGTGCAATGTCCTTCTTGTAAACCTCGTAAAGCTATAGTTGGAGACTCAAAATATGCGAATTAACGACAATTTTCACCTGCATGGAATCACACCCAATCGGCACTTACGACACATTTGCGTATATCGCACGAACTTCTGGAAAAAAATTGAGCCAAGGAGTTTGCATAAATGTCGTGCGACTCTTGCACGACATTCGTAGGGAATGTCGTGCATTATTTTAATCGCAATTTAGTCACAATGTGGCTTATTCATGTCGAAATCGAATGACGAATGTGCCGCGCTCCCAGGGGTCCTAGGGCAGTTCGCGCCTGTATCGTACGAGTCTCATTTTGTCTCCAATCAATCGCAATTTAGTTTCATAGGTCACCAACCATTATTTATCGCACTGTCCGACTCACGGAAACTATATTGAGATGGGTTCGAGACGGGATAAAGACACCCACGACAATTCTGCGACTATTTTGAGAGAAAATTTTGTCGCATAATTTTTTTGAACGTGTTCAAATCTCCAGCAACACGAGAGCAAGATTCTGTGACTCACGCGAGGAAGTTGAGAACCCCCGCGAACGTCTTGAAACATTTTGGAAGCTCCCTCGCAATTGCCGTTTGCGATTTGCCGCCAACAGTCGCAGCCCAGACCCAGTGAGATAGGGGCTTAAACAAATCGATACGAGTTACAATTCAAGATTTTGACCTGCACGTGTAAGTGGATTACTTTTCCTCAATTGTGAGGAAAGTCCCTTAAGTTTTCAAACAAAACGACCAAACTTCTGAAAGAAATGGGTGTTAATTCATAAATATCGTCACAACTTACTTAAGGAGTAAGAGGCTCACTTTATTTTAGAAAAATTAGATCGTAACGTTATTTCTTCTACCTAAGCAAGAAATTGCACTGGAAACTGTCGTGTAAATTTCAAAAGTATCTCATTCTCCTTATTCAATGTTATTCAAAGCACGAGATGGTAAACTGTTATTATTCTTGTCCCGACCACAGCAAAACACGGAAGCTATGCGGTATTGGCGGTAACGAATCTCTTTAAAAGGGAAGTCTCCCCTGATATTAATTTGGTTTTGATAAAAGCAGACAAATGAGAGAGAAACAAAAGTGTAGTTTGAGCAAAATCCGATTCGAAAAAGGAAAGTTATGAATTGTTGAAGTAGTCAATAGTGAAACACAAGTTGACACATTGTGACGTATCATGCGACTTTCTCTCACATTTGCTTTGTACATATTAACATTTCATAAACTAATGATTTCTTTGTTATTTACAAAGATGATTTAACCGATTTCTTTTTTTTAGTTAGAAGTGTCGATCAGAGGGTCTAGTCACCCCTTCATAATCTTGGAGTCAACAATGTTCAGTATATCTTGTAAAGCGCAAGCTTTCAACTAGTGCCTTTTTCGACCCCCCCCCCCCCCTCCCATCATAAATATGAAACGCCCCTGTGCCGAGTGAACTTTTGGATCTTTTACACTTGAGAGGAAATTGGTTCAACAGAATATGATATTCTCTGTTTTATTGGTTTATGTGTGTATGCATTGTCATGAAAGAGGAACTTTCATGTTCTAATGCTAATGCATGTTGCCCCCCCCCCTCCCCCCTCCTCTCCCTCCCATCATGAATATGAAATGCTCCATCTCCATAGAGAACTATTGAATCTTTTATACTTGAGAGGAAAGTGGTCCAACAGAATATGATATTCTCTCGTTCATCATTGGTTCATATTTTTGTATGCATTGTCATGAAAGGCCCTTCTATTTGCTAAGCTTTTATGATTTACGGTCGCAAGTGCATTCGACTCGGCCATGACCTTCGTCATATTTCTGTTCATAAGAGAACTAGACCACTCACCACATTGCGTGACATGAATCGCTATGCATGGGACTGAGTCCCTCTTTTTTTTATTAAAACAAAAACTATGGGAAAATGAATTTATGGAATGTCTACAAACACTCCGACTGTCACTTAACCTTGGCATAGAAGGGGGAAAAAGAACGAGAAAGGAAGAAAGAATTTGAATGGTTTCCAGTTCTCTGCGTATCCTGAATGGTAAAATGGAGATGGCACGTTTTAAAAAGTATAATTGTTATATATAACTTTTTAGGGGGAGGGGGCTTCGATTGTATACGCTATAACTACGTAGTAATTTTTTTTTCTTCTTCTTCTAATATCTACCTGTAATTATTGTTTCCCTTGAACCCCAAATACACCTTTATGCTTCATATAACGTTTAATTTGTTTTCTTAATTTCCTATTAGAGATAATGGATATGAAGTCAGGTGCTATACAGGGTAGTTTTTATATTTTTCGAAGGGTCACTGTTAAAACTACGCCCCTCGGAATAGTCCTTAAGAATGGCACATTTCGAATTTCGTATGAAGATCTTGATCTTCCCAAGTCATACATTGTGTTCACACGATGGTAATTCTGGTCTGCAGAAAAGTCGTGTTTAGAGCTAGTCGGCGTAAATATGATGAGGTCGGCGTAAAGGTCGATAGTCGTGTTTCCTACGCCGATCTTTACGCCGACTAATTTTACTCCTTATTTTTTCCCCAGGAGTAACGCGCTAACACGACTAGAGGGTAGCGTAAGTTGACCGTGTTTATGCTCCCATTTGGCACTCAGAGTATTTGTGACCTTACACAAGTTTTGTTTTTTTTTTAAATCGAAAATGAAAATTCGATTTCACGCGGTTTAGATGCGGAAGCTGGATTGAGGTCGACTAGAGCGGGCGCCACCACTTCTGGAAGTTACACTGAGTAAGAATGGGTCGGGGGAAGGTCGTGTTAACTTGATCGTGGCAAGTTGGTCCGAGTTAGAGCGTACGGACAACTAATGGTGTGAGTCAAATATTTATGGAGTATTTATTGCTGCGGGGAAAAACTTACGCCGACTAGGAAAGCCCATTGAACATGGCTATTGAGAGGATTCTTTCTACTCCAAAAGGAGACAAAGGATCTGTAATGTGAAGCACATAATGGTTGGCGCCGATTCATTCATGAATAAACCATTGATGTCGAAAGCCTTGGTTTCTTATTTCTGCTTCATGTTATTGCATTCTACATCATGTTCACTCATGAAGTATTGAATTCCAGACTTATTCTACCTGAAGGTCGATGGAATCGCATTGATTAATTTTCGAGCGGCGACTACACTTCAGCTACGAAATCTGTTTTTGTATGCCCGAGTCTCCTTTTGCAGATTCCCCCTTTTTTCGATTCTTTTCTTTCCCCGGTAGATCTTACTTAATCATGAAGACCAACCGGTATCGGTTTCACGCAAATCGAATGTCTGCTACGTTTCTTATCCTTTTTTCAGTGATCAAGCTAATTTAATTTTCTGAAGGTTTCCTTACCTAAAGCATTGAAATGTTAGCGGAGATATGGTAATTAAATGTATTCTCGACAGTTTCCATCTAAATGCGGTGAAAACAGTACGATTTTACCCTCAGATCAATAACTGCTCTAACCGTCGGAATCCCGGTTATTGGCCTTATCTGATTGTTTTTCTTTTTTTAACGAAAACGTTAAAGATCCAGCAACTTTGTGTTCATGATGAAGCCACGGTATATAGCTACTGTACGACCCTTGGAGATGGGGTATGGATGAGGATGTGTGCATGCGCGTGGGTTTGGTACAAACGAGTTTACTGCATCTATTTCCCTTTTCTGTCGATAACGAGGTTTTTCCTCGTTAGGGCGGATTTGAGAGAGGCATAACCGTCCCGTGCCCCTGTCTGAAGAACAAACAAACCCAAATTTATCATTGAAGCCCCATCAAATGTGAGACCCTAAGAGGCCCCTGAAAATGTTGTAAACTTCTTTGTTTGTTTGGGATTTCTTGTTTTCTTATCATTTTTTTTTGGCTTTTTTTCCTTTCCTGTTATCATTTCGTATGAGCATTTCTTCAGATACGAACCCCTACAAATGTGATAAACCCTATAGCTCAAATCCCCCTTCCGAAGTCCTTGATCCGCCTCTACTCGTCTTATCGATTCACTCCACATGCGGACTTCTCTTTCAAAAGTTCAAATTTGAAACCTTAGACATGACGACTTTCTGTAGGGACACTACAGACATGACGAGATTCTATGGGGACACCGCTCCGCCACACTGGACACCGTTGGGTGTCTTAACTATCATTCAAATCGCCTAGTCACGCACTCGCCCTCATTTCGAACTCGTCTGACACAGTTTCTATTTCGTTTCTTAGAAGAAAAAGAAATCGTTTTAGATAAACAATTTATCCCAACAATTACGGCCAAACACTCTATTGAAAGTGATTTAAAGGACAACACTATCGTGTTTGAAAATTAATTATCTGTAATTTCATTATGAGCTTCCATAAGGCCGATATTTCGATGACTCAGTCTATGTCCGCTTTGAATTACCGAGATTTCTTGTACACAAAGAAGACAACTAGAAAAATTCGAATGTAAGTACCATTAGTCCCGTACGTGTGATGTTTGTCAAAGAGCATGGAATTTTTCGTGACCTTGGAATTGTAAGTTTCACGACATCAGCATCTCATGCGATGAGATGAGCAATTTTGAGTTTGAGTTAAATCGCCACTATCTTTGACTCTTTTTTTTGGAGGGGGGGGGGGAGATATTCCGTTTTATCTAAAGACAAAGGATTTGTAACGAAAGCTGTCTACGGGGATCAATTGCACCGAGAGACAACGTTTGAATATATGCAGTTGGCTATCTAAATTTCTAAAGATTGGGAAGGTACTTTCTGGCTGGAGGAGGAGGGATAAGCACTCTTTGTAGGGGGGGGGGCACACTTTTTTTTTTTTTTAAAGACGGGGAATTCTAAGCTGCGTAAGCGGATCAATTGCACCTACTGACAACATTTGAATATATGCAGTTAGGCTATCTAAACAGATGGGGATAAGAACACGATTATGCTCGCTTTAACCTTTTTATCGGTTAAATTATTCGAAACCTAAACCCGTTGAGCGTTTCCCATCCTGATCGAATCCCAGTCAGACCTTCGCCTGACGCGGAAAATGAATTCGTCCCTCCCAAATCTCCATTCACTGCAGGGACATTCGATCCGAAATAATCACACCAAGCCAGGGTCACCAACCCCACCGGTAATCACAAACTTAATCGGCAAACATGTCTGAGAGGAACGTCTGCATGGCAATCTTCCTCTCTGTAGCTCAACGTTCCACCACGCAATAGAAATCGTAAAATACGCCAAATACAGACGGATTTCTCGATATAGTCCACGTTTATTCCACCACGCCCAAAGATACAAAGACATAAATCTGCACCAGACGAATAATCTGACTTTACGTCATTTATTTAAAAGGGCAATGATATGAGTAGACGAAAAACGTGCTTATCTGTTTATATTTTTTGCATTTTATCAAAATTTAAAACATTCCCAAGAGTTGGTCACACTTCCTTTACTTTATTCGTTCTCCATTTAAAAAAACATGCAAAACATTTAAATATATACAAGCATTTTAAGGTAAAATACGAAGTACATTGAATGAATTCATATGCAATAATAAGAAGAAAAAGGACATCAAAACCTACTGATACTTGACAGGTGGATGTTCCCAAGAACTATCAAGTTATGAGATAAAGGTATTACATAGTTTTGGTAAATTTTGAAAATTGGCTAGATAGTGATTCTTTACTATTTTGATATATCTGGATGCCCCTATGGATGTATTATAAGCACTAAAACAATTAGCCACCAAAACACTTCTGCTCTCGAGAAAAATTGAATATACAAATTTACCGGTGCTCCCGGTAAATTTTGATAAATTTCAAATAGCGCCTAGGACCATACGATGGTAGCTGCGACCATGGAATTCTCAGAATATGTAGTTGTGATATATATATTCCAAACGGTAATAGCGAATCTGTCGATTTTATTCAAAGAACATTGTTTTATAGCTAAATTGATATATTGACCATGAGAGGGCGCTATACAACAAAGTGTTTATTAGTTTACAATTTCATCACTTTATAGACTCGATTTCAACCGCGACAACGATCACTGAATATTGTAGGATCTCATTATGCTTCCAATATGTTTATTTGAACCAAATTCATGACCCCATACCAAAACGTTGTATTACCTTTAATATTTCGACGGAGAACAACAAATTAGGTAAAACAAATGTGTTAGTGGTTTGGATTTCAAAATTTCTGTTTCTCTCTTTTCTTTATTTCTCTCACCCAAGTCTCTCTTTATCCCTACCCCCTCTTTCGCGCCCCCTTTCTCTAATTCTCTTTCTCGCTCCCTCTGTCAGCTCATTTTACATGCATAAAGACATAATACATGTATCAATGAATGCTCAAACAAAATACTCCGATCGAAGAATTTGGTAGAATTGTTTTCTTGAGGTAAATAGAAAAAACAGAATACTTACAGCAATGTTATCGAGGCTGTTAACCCCTAATATGCCGACGTTTTTCCACTCCCACTTAATGCACATCTTTATCCGCGGATCATTGTAGCTGTTGGTTGATGGGATGGTCCGGAAGAGATACCGGTTACCCGTCAAAGATGGGGCGTGCGATCCGTAAGTGATCTGGATAAAAGAAATTCAGTAAGAAATAAATACAAGGCGATTAAAAAACGAGAGGCTTATTTACAATTCAGTAATTTCTTTTCTTTTCTTTCCTTGGGATTTGTTTTTTCTCTCTAATCGATGATCTTGTTAATTCGCATTTCATTCACAGCGTAAGACCGGTATCGCCCCCCCCCCCCCTCTTTTTTTTATCATTCCAGCGCCCCCTCGATGGCCGGCCCCTCTGCTACGAGGGTATTTAGTCATTTCTTGTGTTTTATTGTAATATATACTCGTTAGGGGAGGGAGAGCAAGTATGCGTATGTCAGATTAATTGTCAATTGGGTGCTTATCTACAGAAGATGTGTTTTCATTTTTGCTTCCTACATCACCAAACTTGTACTATGTCTCTCTCAATATTTTACTTTATTTAGAAAAGAAAGAGGGAATTGTCTGTCAGAATGCTGAACGTTATTCGGAATGACAAAAAGATACAGACAATGTTTTTTTTTTTTCATTTAAGACGAATATGTTATGGTTAATAAAGTTTGTTTAATATCTTTTTGATTTACGAATTTACATCTTTTTGATTTAAAATATAAAGAAAAAAATGCAAACTTATGTCATGGTTCATGTTTATAATTTTGTTGAATATCTTCTTCATTTACTAATATACATATTTATAATTGAAAATATGAAGGGAAAATGCAAACTTTCTTCAAGAAAGGTAGAAAATACTATCAGCAATATAGTAGTGAGCCCTCTATTGTTGAAAGTTTGAAGTCTTAAAAAAACAAGAAACTAATGTCCTCAAAGGGGTGCCATGTTACTAGCATTAACTAGATTTGCAATTAAATGACAAAAATTAGCTATTTTAATAAGTATTCTAAGAAACAGAGTACGTCATACTTGTCATCCACATACTTGCTTAAATCTTACTTTTTCATTTTCATTAATTTTGTCGATTCGCATCAACATTTTGAACAAAGCCCAGCCTCAAGACAATTTTATCAAGCCAATATGCATGATCATGATGATCGTGATGCTTATGGAATATCATAATCAGGCATCTCACAGACAATTAGGATGTGCCCTTCTCAATTATTCTCAAGATATAATGAAAAGTAATTATCTATTCATCCTAAGGAAATTGGCTATGAATACATTTTGATGTTGTGCTTTCACAGGATTACCTTTTCATTACCTTAAGAAAAAGCGGGGAAAACGTTTTGTAACAGGTTGCAGTAGCACGGAATGGGTAAATCCTTTAAAGGGCATTGGAATACTTTGAGGGCATCGGGCTTTCCCTCTCTCTCCTTTCCTTTCTATTTTCCCTTGTTTTTTTTTAAGGGAAAGTCCACCCTGATTGTCATAGAAATAGACAAATTTGAAAGGAACAGGTTTGAGAAAGTTTGAGCGAATTCCGATTAAAAGTAAAAAAGTTATGAATTTTTGAATTTGCGATCAGTAAAACACTAATTAATAACTCTGTGACGTATCATTCAAGGTTTCCTCCCAATATATTCGTATATTCTTAAAAGTGTAAATTTTATTGCAGTGTAACGAAATAATGTGTAAAACATTTATGACAATTTTGAAAGTAAATATTTAAGCATTAAGCTTACACGTGACTACACACATGATTACATCTGGTATTGAAGAAGGTATTCTTTTTTGTTTTAATACTGTAGTATGGCAAAGTCAGCAGAGTGATTTTGAATCTTCGCTTAGGCGTACATAGTTAAACCAAGATAAAAAAATCGGGGGAAATGTAAGCATTTCTATGAAGAAAAACACTATAATCATCTTTAACACATTTCCTCGATCTTTTTCAATATGCCAAATTTTAATATTTCAAACAATATTTCATAATAAAGAGGAAAGAAAAATGAAGGATAGAAGAAAAGAAGGAAACTGATTGTTAGAAGAATCCCTGCTTCATTTAATCACAAGAAAAGTAGATACGGAAAATGACTACGTGCATCGATTTATGCACAACAGCTACGCGTGTTCGTGTGTGTGTGTTATCATGCCCGAAGGCGTTGAGTAATTTTTATTAAGAAAAATCACCTGTCTTTTCATTTCAGCGAAAATTCAAGTTAATGCGGGTCACGAGATTCGAGATAATGTTATGAATAGAATAAATATTCATACGCAGTCGAAGCAGAGTGTTCGAAAGATTTTGTTAATGACTTTTATCATGTCGTTGTCAATAGGAATAGACATCCTGATATAACTCGGGTAGTACTATAATTATATTGATTCATATTTTATTCTGCTACTTTTCAACTGATGAAAGCGATCAAGCGCCTCTATTAGATCTTGTTGATTGAGCGTATATATATATATATATATATATAGACTGCTCATGTAATATCAAAGGGTAAATGATCTATGCACAGTGACATTTACATTATTCATGACCGTTTAGCTATAGTTCTTTCAAAATCTAAAACTAATCATTTAAAGGTTACATAGTACTCTGAAGATGATCTATCAAAGAAGAAAACAAATACTTGAAGATTCGGAAACTAAGGTTTGGGGGGATAAATAAAATAATTCTAAAATCGCGTGTGAATTTTAATAAATCTGTTTGTCTGGTCGGTGTTGGGTCGAGTCTGGCTTCAAACCATTTGAGTGGCATTGGCCTCGGCCTCGCGGACCCAGGCAGTCATGCGTATAAAACATATGGAAAGAACTTGACTTGACTACATCGCTGTTGTTTGTAAATACAAATGTGTTTTGCAATTTATTCTAAGATAAACATGTTAAATCAACATTAAAATATGCACTGATTTTTTGCGACTTACATTGCGACTCCATTGAAGGAATGCCTTACAATACAATCTAGTGGAATAGCAGAGACATATGCTCTGCTAGAAGTAATCTTAACACTTAAAGGGCAATCCTACCCTCGTAATTAGTTGATTTGTATGAACGCAAAATCAATAACAAAAAACAGATTCAAAAGTTTGAAATGAATTGGACCAATAGTAAAGAAGTTATGAATGTTTTAAATATGAGATCACTAAGTCTATGCGAATCTCAAGTTGGTAGTTTGGTTAGTGGATCGTGACGTACATGTAGGACGTGGATAACTCTGCCGTGTGCCGTGTACACAAAATATCACCAATTTCTGTTTTTCTCGAAAGTTCCTTCTCCCTTGGTACACTACTCAAAATATATTATAGATAACATATTGGTATAGGTCTTCTAAAAAGAAGTGGCCCTCCTGAGCCACGGACTTTTGAAATATTTACATTTTAGTCATTTTATATTTTGGAACAGATGGGAAACTACATCACATTGACATTACCGATTCAGCCAACTTGAAGTGCCCTTTATTCTAGTAATTACAACTTTCACAAATTCATAACTTTCTTATATTTAGTCAGATTTAATTGAAACTTTCATCAGTTTGCTCTGATTTTTCTGCTTTCGTTTAGAGTAAATGTATGTTGGGGTTGTATTTCCCTTTAAGTTGCTTTTTTCGCCGCTCTGCACAGTCAATCGTTTGCGACAGATGCAATTTTGCACAAACAATAGGCACTTATTGACGGTAAGATTGCTTTGTGCTTGCAACATAATGTCTTTGCAAAATTACACATTTCCTGTCTCCATGACAACCCTCTTAAAATTGGTATAAATGAAGCTTGCACTGAAAACAGTGAAATAAAAGCCTTTAGTATTTCTACCACGTGATAAATATAATGTGGCGCCGGAAGATTTTTTCGAACTGAAATGATGATGAATCAGTTTTGGTAAAAAATCGCGTGCACTGTACACAGAAATGGGCACATAAACCTACAGTCATGTGGCAAGATAGTTTTGGTCTAAACATTTCAGTTATTTCTCGTTACATATCGAATATGATAACAGTTGAGGAGCAATCCCTTTCATCGGATATTTATGATATTCTTCCAAACTGATATACAAGGACTGAGTACCAAAAAATGCGCCTTATTTTCTATCTTGAACAGAAATCAACCTTCCCTTTAAATGTAATTCCCATGGTAATTGGAATATGTAATGAGAACTTACTTGGACCACGCCCCAGTAGATGAGTGGCTTTGAGATGGCTTCGGTGATTTCATTTCGGAGTCCACCAATCACCATCACTTTGCGTTTGGTGTTGTTACCGTAGATGTCGTCAAATAGAACGTTCACTGCGTATCCCTCGTCGTTCTGTAACAAGGGCAGGAAAGAGAGTGGATAGAAGCAAGAGAGAGAAAAAATGATTAAAAAATAATATAATGAGCACTTATGTTATGTTCATGCATCAATCCTAAATGGTGCCCAAGGCAACGAAAAGCAAAGACTAAGTAAATAACAGTTTTATAATGAGAGACAGAGAAAGGGGTAGAACGACAGAAAGAAAACAAACTATATTATGATTATCATGATAAATATAGTGCGTAGACAACCATGAAAATACATGTTTGATCAATCAAGAACCAACAAATTCGTCTTAACACAAAAAGGGTAATAACGTTAAAAAAAATGTCCCATGTCGGAGTAGAATAGTCAAGAGGAAAGAAAAAAACGGCACCTTATAAGATCTTTTCTGTTTAACACTTATTCCTCTTTCTCTCCCTGATTTCTTTTTTTTTTTTTTTCCTCTTAAGTTTCATTTCATTTCTTGTTTTCTGTGTTATTGTTTATTGTTCCATGTTATCCTGCGAAAATCATAATCTGCATGATTATTTTCCATTTCTCGTATAAATGATTTCGACACATGCGATAAGTGCACGCCCGTATATTATCCTTCGGCTGTCAAGAAAAGTATTGATACGCTCCAGGCCAAATGGAACAACGTCTAAATGATAAACATTTCAAACAATGTCAGAAAGAAAATGATGATAGATAACAACGATGCGTGGAAGACACAGTTGATAATTTATTTTGACTACACGACAGTGACAACAACTATGACAAAGCGCCTTGCTTTTCGGCGGAAAATGTCAAAAAAGGGACAGAAGAAAAAGAAGGGCTCGGCGAGCTGTATTATTGTTAAGGGTATGATTACATAGAGAGGCTGAAAACAGGCACGTTCGACAAGGGCTTTGTTTATTTGTTCAAAAAATTTGCTCAATCCTTCTTTGTACCATACCCTGGAAGCACGGTGTGAATTGCGCATAGGGATGGGCTTGAAGTGTTGCATTATTAAGGCCATTTAGAGGGTGTGGGGAGTTGCGATAAGACGTTTTAACGGGGGCCTCTGGGATGGACTTAGGGCAAGAAGAATACGCCCCCTCGAGATTAATTCCAAGACGGCTGTTTTTAATGGTTGGAAGAAAACCATGACCAATATAACGTATCACAACATATGAAAACAGAAGTGACATGGAAGAAGAGTTCGTTAGTCTTCGAGCCAAAGCGACATTTAGATGTCATAATTAGCAAATATTTGAGTTTCATTTTAGGGCGTAATCCCGGAGGTTCGGATTAACTTGTCACGACATTTCGCTGCTCCCTGATCACCGAGGCAGACGGTATTATTTTTTAATTTAGATAGATCTGGAAATAATGAGGAGAAAAGAGGTCGGTTTGGGGCTTATTATTTAAGGTGACAAAACAACAATGATTGGAGTTATATCTGTGCTAAATAATATGCATTAAAGCCCCTCTACATGTTCCAGCTTTCTACAGAGAATAAACAGCTTATCATTTTTCTATAATGAGGAAGGATGCCATATCATACGACTAGAGGGATAGTTGAGTTTTGTTGCATAGGGCGCTGCACACAAACAAACAAACAAAAAATAATGAATAACTCACTGAGTGTCAGATTTGAAAGAATATACAATTTAAATCACAAAATCATCTTTGTTTGATCAAAATCGGTTTAGAGACTGCTGAAATATCCATAAATATAACCATTTCTAATATTTGTGGTGCCCCCACATACATTTGGTAATTTTGAACCAGCCGTTGAAAAACGAGTGAGCGCCTTATACGTTTTATTCCAGCCAATGCCAATATTGGCTTTTTTTGCTTTTTCGTGTTGGTTATAATACGCACGACCAGCCGGTCCGTGTTTTGTTATTATTAATTAATTAAGTAATTAACGGTCACCGTATATTTTGGAAAGTGGAACTGAAATGGTATGATCGTATTCAATGAAGGCACTTGCGGTCTTAAACAAGAACTCAACTATCCCTTTTAATACCCCGTCACACCAATCATAATTATGACACCAGGGGGGGGGGGAGCATTTTTGTGGACATCTCATTGAAACATGTGCTATAGCATTAACATGAATTTCTATGGGATGTTCACGAACTTAGACTTATGACGGTTTCGAGCAACTGGCGCCAGGACGACAACAGACAAAACAAAACGTAATATCAACCCGCATGTCTCAAAATCGGTTTGTGTTTAATCGGTTGGCGGTGTGACTGATATATTTATAAAATAAGTGCCTGCGAAAGACTCAAATTTTATTCTCAATGAACTACGTTTGCCACCAAAAAATGGTGAGCAGGACTTTTAATTTTAGACATCCTATGCGTCGAAAGGGGTATTATCGCTTACGTTTCGCGGATTTTCTATCTATTACGGTAGCGCATCTCATAAATTCATTATCTGGAATTATGGGAACTGGTATTGCACGTGTTTACACCAATTAATCGTTTTCGCAATTCAGTGAAGAGTGACGGTGCGCTCATTTTATTTACCCCCAATTCCGCGTAAAAATTGACATAATGCGATTGCATTACCAAAGAGCTGATTCTTGCGACTATTTCCGCTTTAAATTAGGTTATAACCAATCTAGTGATATAAGTTATCTAATAGTTTAATAGTATATATAGGTAAAAGCGCTGTGAAACGAGAGAGCTCGTGAATGCTAGCTGTACGAGCTAGGGAATCACGATGCAAGCAGTATTCCACCTAGTCGAAAAATAACACAGGCAGCATGCCCAACCTTTTGTAGCTTCTGTTTAAAGTGCATTCTAGATCATTTAAGCCCAATGCTTTTTATCAAATCTTTTCAACCTAGATTTCAAAACGGCCCCCGAGAAATACTATTTTTATCTTAAAAGCATGGCTATTGGAGTCTTTTTTGTTTCGTTTGTTTTCCATTTTTCTTTGACCTTGATATTCCTCTTTTGTGTTACCCCTTCACATGCACACGAGACGTCATTTCGATTGCGTCAATGCATGAAAGGGAACCTGTGACGGAAGTGAAAATAAACGTAAGTTTAATATCTAAACCGTTGTTTCAACTGATTTTTTTTGTAATAATTTCTTTTTTGTTTGTACGATGTAACTTTCACATGTTGCGTCAATAACCCATCAATCACTGAAGCAGTCCTACGTCTGGCATATATGACGCAACGCGTATTTGCGTCAGGCATATATGACGCAACGCGTATTTGCGTCGGGCATATATGACGCAACGCGTATTTGCGTCGGGCATATATGACGCAACGCGTATTTGCGTCAGAGTCCTAAAAATCCGCGCTTCCTCGAGTATGACCAATCTCTGCTTGTGTAAACTTTCAGGTGGTGAGAATAACGATCTGTTTGCTGTAACCAGATGAAGCGAAAGATACAGACAGCGTTTTCTAAGTGCCTAGAAAGATGCGTTAATTCCCGTTTGAGGTAAAGTTACTTTGCACGAGTATCCTGTATTTCAACACTTCAAGTCAACCTCAAATACAGCATATTCTCTCAAACTCATGCCTGATCAAGTTACGAAATGGGAAAGCATTCAATGATTGTTATGTCATTTTGATTAAATTGCATCACCACGACAGTTTCGTGGTGAGTTTTGATTTCGAGCTTCCGATCCTTTTCTAAGTTTTAATCATTTTGTTTTCTTAGTAAAGTCACACGGATCTAGGACTCTGGATGATGTAAGGATGCCTAAAATAGACTGCTCAAGTCTCTGCTCGTTTGAATTATAGCACTTCAAATGTACTTTCAGTGGCATGTTATAATATTAGTAGTGGATACAGCATTTTAAGAGATTTACTACGACAGAATATCAGCATCATTCTGTGACTGTTTGTGGTACACATTGCGATATTCATGTATTTAGACCCGTCCGGTGAGCGTAAATATTTATCTAAACAAGGAATGTTCGGGCTGTATTCTCAAAGTTAATGACCATAATAATCTTCCTTAAGAAAATAATCAGAACTTGAAAAGGTAATGAAAAAAATGAAACATGAATCTATGAAATGAAAACAAAATCCTTACAAATGAAGTATTACCTCTGCTTAATTCCTGTTATTTTGCCCCCTCTCTCCTCCCTTCCTCCCCCCCCCCCTCCTCTCTCTTTCTCTCTCTCTCTCTCTCTCTCTCTCTCTCTCTGTCACTGTCTCTCTCCCTCTCTATTTCCCTCTATAGACTCTTCTCTTTTTTCTAACCATCTTAAGTCATTATCCCCTTCACCATATAGACAAACAATGAACACTCCAAACAACACCATCTCGTTTTAACCGAAAGAAAATGTTTGTCCGTTTTGTGGTCTCAGCCATCATCTTCACCAATGCATTACCCCCCTGACATGGCTGATATGTGTTTGCTCTGAGCTGAGGGGGTCGCCGCAGACCCCCTCATCCTGGCTAGCCCCTAGCGAATCGCACCCCATCTTCGCGTCTGTAAATCACGGGAGCCCATCGCAAACAACCCAGATGCTTTCGGGGGGACCCCTCGAGGGTGTTTATCATGCCTCACTCTGGAGCCGCAATGAATATGGAGAATGAGAGAGAGAGAGAGAGAGACAGAAAGAAGGCTGCTAAAGTTCTCCCATGTTTCTCTTTGATTGATGTGGCACCAGAAAGAAATGAACAGTGTCGTCATACATAGTTAGCCCTTTATTCAAGAACTCTGTCTCTCTCTCTCTCTCTTTTTTCTTCTTTCTAATCATCAATTTCTTCTCCTATACTGTTTCTGTCTTGTCTCTATATCAATATTATTTATCTTGGGTATTGCTCTCATCCCCCTCCCCCTCCCCCTCCCCCTCCCCCTCCCCCTCCCCCTCCCCCTCCCCCTCCCCCCCCCCTCTCTCTCTCTCTCTCTCTCTCTTTCCTCTGTCTCTCCATCTCTTTTCCTCTTTTTTTGCTATTAAGTTGGTTTTTTTAAACATTATAATCCCTCTTATTTATGATAAATAAATCAACGTTTAATTTGTTAGCATGAAGTGTTTCTACAAGTTATTTTTTTCACATTCCAGTAAAGGCATGGGAGAGCTTAAAACA